ACGGGGGTACTTCCAGATTCATCCACCATCCACCATGACAATAAACCCTTTTGGAACCAAGGACTTCCTCGTGTCATTGGGGCCTGCCACTGCCAAAGCCTCCAGGCTGCTGGAACATTAGACGTTCCTCCTGCATGTGGGACCCGCCGCAGCGTGGAAGCCTCTGGGCCTCCACCACCGCTGCGGCCTATAATTTTTCCCCACATATGACCAAGGTACTTGTAAATATATTTTGAGTCTGAGTCTTATTTCTGGGAGCAAGAGGCTGGGACACAGAACCAGGCAAAACTTCAACAGATCCCTGTGAGTTCCAGGCGATCCTGGTCTACACAATGAGTTCCAGAACATCCAGGGCTGTGTTGGAAGACCCTGTCTCAAAACAAAACAAAACAAAAATGATATAAAGATGGATAGATAGATAGATAGATAGATAGATACATAGATACACAGATAGATAGACAGACCGATAGTGATGGCTGGTAAGATGGTTCAGCAGGTAAAGACATTTGTCACTAAGCTTGATAACTTGAATTCAGTCCCAGGGAGTACATGGAAGAAACTAACAATTCAAATTGTCCTTTGTCTTCCACATGTGCCACATGCATATACAATGAATGAGTGAATACATGAATGAATGAATGAATGAATGAATGAATGAGTGTATACAGTTTAATAAAGAAAAGTCAAGCACGGTGACTCATGGCTATAATCCCAACACTTTGGAGGTAAAGGCAAAAGGATCATGAATTTAATCCTTGGCTACATACGGTCTTGTTTAAAAATCTTTAAAAAGAAAAGGAAGCTGGGCATAGCAGTGGACGCCTTCAATCCCAGCACTTTCGAGGCAGTGGCAGGTGGATTTCTGGGTGAGTTCAAGGCCAACCTGGACTACATAAGACAGACAGGGTTACACAGTAAGATGCTGAGGGCAAGGAAAGATAATAAGAAAAGCCAGCTAACGCGTCTTAAAAATTTAAAACATTCTGTTATGGAGCTGGAGAGACACATTAATATTTAAGAGCACTGGCACCTCTTCCAGAGGGTCCAGGTTCAGTTCCCAGTACATACATGGCAGCTCACAATCATCTGTAACACCAGTTCCTTCTGGCCTTCTCTGGCACAAACCACAGATAGGCAGGCAGGCAAAACACCCATACACACAAAATAAATAAAAATATCATTCAGTTATATCATCTGACTAGGAATTTAGGAGTTTGTCGTAGACCTGCTTTCTGTGTGTTTTTCTCTACCTTCCTCAGAATGGTAGCCTTAAATCCTAAGCTTAATGCTGCATGGTCACAAAAATGGGTGCAGAATCTCCAGGTCTCACACCCTTGTACCAATAAAGTAAGTAAGAAAGAAGAAAGCAAATGGAGAAGTCTTTTTTTTTTTTCATACTGAGGAAGAAAAATAATTAGTCCAGGCTGGCCTCAAACTTATCATGACAAACCTCTGATCCTCCTGCCTCAACTTCTTGAATGCTGAAATTATAGATATGTTCCACCAGGGCCATTTTTCTTGGTTTGGGCCTTTATTTTTGAGACAGGGTCTTACTGTATCCTCTGGTGGCCTGGAACTTGAGATCCTCCTTCCTCTGCCCCCCAAGTGCTGGATTACAGGCAAGTGGCACAGACTCAAGTAAGGCTTTATCAGTTCGTGAGTGGCAGAGCAACCAGAGCTATCTGTTGTGACCCTGCTGCTTACAGCTTTAATGACCTTTCCTGGGTGTCATGTGTAGTGCCTTGGGTTCTATGCTATACTGCCTTGCACATTAGGTGGGGTGTGTGAGCACAGAGCCCAGCTGTTTGGGAGCACTCTGCACACAGGTATCCTTGTGAATGACGTGTATACCAGGCCAGTGTAAGAGATCCACCTGGCCTGAAATTCTCCAGCGCTGCTGTCCTTGCTTCCCACCCTCTCTGTCCAGACCAGCTTCCTCCCTCTGGCTCCGTTTCTATTTCTGTCTTGCTTTCCTCCCCCCCAAGGCCTCAGGGGGCCCCTGACTGGCTTGAAGCCTTCTTCCTTTTTCACCAGGATTAGGAAGGAGTTTTCGTGGCAGGATATCTGCAAGGACTGAGATGCCCAGAGCCCCTGACCTAGCCCAAACCACCTTTGCCCTCCCAGGCAAGTCTTCAGTGCCTGGATAGCACTTCCGCCATTACCCTCCACTCTCCAGCAGACCCTGCTTGACTTATGCTTACACAGGTAAGCACAGAGCCCTCCTCCCCTACTCCCCTAACAGCTGGCTGTGGAGACCCAGCAGCTCAACTAGGATCACCAGAGCCATTCCCCAGCCTCCAGACAGCTCCAGAGGCAAACTGCCAATTCCACTCTTTTCTTCATGGGAGGAGCCCTCTGATGAGTGACTCCCCCCCCCTCTGGTTCTGACCTCTGCCTGTAAAATAGACTCTGGACATCTATCCTATACAGTGTGGGCAGCCAGGCAGGGACAGAAACTGTCCAGCTGAAAGGACTTAAAGCTGAGGCTGGGTCAGAAATTGTCCCACCTGCCTATTACTGATTAACGTTTGCAGATTTAAGACAGTGTCTGGCTGTGTTACCCAGGCTGGCCTCAAACTTCTGAGCTCAAGCAATTAGCCTGCCCCAGCTTCCTGAGTAGCTGGGAGTCCAGTTGTGTCATCTTACCCAAATCCACCTGCTTAAAAAAATTTTTTTTGGGACCGGGCGGTGGTGTCGCACGCCTTTAATCCCAGCACTTGGGAGGCAGAGGCAGACGGATCTCTGAGTTCGAGAGTTCAAGGCTAGCCTGGTCTACAGAGTGAGTTCCAGGACAGCCAGGGCTACACACAGAGAAACCCTGTTTCGAAAAAAACCAAAAAAAAAATTTTTTTTTTTGTTGGGAAAAAAAAAAGACAAAAACCCCTGGGTCTCTGCATGTAGAAGAGGATAGTCTCCAACACTTTTTTTTTTTTTTTTTGGTTTTTCGAGACAGGGTTTCTCTGTATAGCCCAGGCTGTCCTGGAACTCATTCTGTAGACCAGGCTAGCCTCGAACTCAGAGATCCGCCTGCCTCTGCCTCCCAAGTGCTGGGATTAAAGGCATGCGCCACCACCGCCCGGCATAGTCTCCAACTTTTTACTTTTTAAAAAAATGATTTATTCTCCGTGTAGTATGTCTGGGTGTATGTCTGTGCATCGCACACATGCCCACAGAAGCTAGGACATGGGATCCCCTGGAACTGGAGTTACAGACAGTTGTGAGCTGCCAAAAGGGTATTGGGAATCAGACCTGGCTCCTCTACAAGATCACTGGGTGCTCTTAACCACTGAGACTTCTCTCCAGTCCCTAGTTTTGAACTTTAAAAAAAATTTTTTTTTTCCTCTGTGTAGCCCTGGCTGTCCTGGAACTCACTCTGTAGACCATGCTGGCCTGGAACTCAGAAATCCACCTGCCTCTATCTCCTAGAGTGCTGGGATTTAAGGTGTGTACCATCACCACCCAGCTACAATTTTTTCTAATTAATTAATTAATTAATTAATTAATTTTGTGGGAGTTTCACATGTGCTATGGCACTTGGGTCTCAGGGATCAAATTCAGATTGCCAGGCTTGATGGCAAGTGTCTTTACTCACTGAGCCAACTCAGTCTTGAACTTCCGAGTCTCCCGTTTCTACCTCCCAGTATCAGTAGCTCAGGCATGCACCATCATGCCCGGTTCCTAGCTTTGTTAAGTCTGTTTTCCCAGGACACACGCCTATAAACCTGGCACTCCAGAGGATAGGGCGGGATAATTGAAAGTTCAAGGCCAGCCTAGGCTACATTATTATTAAGATCTTGTCTCAAAAAAAAAAAGTTTGTGATGGTGCATACATATGATCTCTGCGCTCAAAAGGCAAAGACAAGGATTGCCACAAATTTAAAGCCAGCCATGTGTGTGTACATGTATGCATAGTTGTATATACTTCTGTATTTGGTCATGGTAGTGCAAGCCCACAATCGCAACACTTGGTAGAGGCAAAGATCACAAAAGGCTGGGAGGCTAGCGGCTAGCCTACTCTATCTAGGGAGTTTCTAGGGCAACACAGTGCTATGGAGGGAGATTGTCAGAAACAACTACACACACACACACACACACACACACACACACACACGTATGTATGTATGCATATATGGAGACTAGCCTAACCTATATAGAAAGTTTCCAGGGACAACCCAGAATCAACTGCACACACTCAGGTATATATATATATATATATATATATATATATGTGTGTGTGTGTGTGTGTGTGTGTGTGTGCTTGAGGGGATGTCTCAGGGAATAGTGTTTGTCATGTAAACATGGGGGAGTTCAGACCCCCAATGCACTCATAAAAATATCTATAACTCCAGCACCAGGGGCAGAAGTGGGTAGTGGAGGACCCTGGAGTTCACTGGCCAGACTGTCTAGCCTAATTGATGGGTCTCAGTCTCAACAAATGACCTTTGACCTCGGCATTCACGCATGGATGAGTGCACCAGCACATGCACGCATACACCACACCCACATACTAAAATCAGTAAATAAATACTCCACGTAGAATTGCTGTTTTATGTTGTCTTGAGATACACTTGCTATGTAGCCCTAGCTTGTCTGGAACTCATTCTGTAGACCAGGGTGGCCTCAAGATCACAGAGACTTGCCCCCCCCCCCCCAGACTCTGCCTACTGCGTTTTGGACTTAAAGGCAAGGGCCTCTATACCCAGCTGGAATCAGTATTAAATAAATTAATCTCAATTTTCCACCCTCTGGTTATGCCGGGACATGTTATCTATTCCTCCTGGCTTCTCATCTCTAAGATGGACTAACAGTATGGATGTCCTAGGATAATTGTCAGGATTGGATGGTTTAACGGATACTCACATGCTGGCCACCTGTCACTATCATTTTTGGTTTCTCCCTACCTCGGAGTCTGCCTGCCAGTCTCCCCATACCCACCGCCATGTTCTCTTCCGTCTGATTCAGAGTCCCCCCATCCCCAAACACGCACACACACACACTGGTCAGCAGAGCCGCCTCAGACACAGAAAAAAGTTTAATTCTGCTGCGGCGGAGGGTCCCGGCTCTGAGAGGGGGATTTGGTTTTTGTTTGTGTGGGGATTCATTGTGAGGATAAGGAAGGTAGAGAGAAGAGTCTGGTCCTTCAGTGGGACCTGCCCGGAAGATGGTGAGGACAGGGAATCGGGAGAGACACGGACACTGGACAAAAAATAAAACAAATAAATAAATAAACAAGGAAGGGCGGAGGGAGAAGAGACAACCATGGGACAGAAAAAAAGGGAGACACGTAGGATAGGACTTAAAACAGACGACAGAGGGCGGGAAAGACAAGGACGCAGGGAGAAAAAAGAAGCCCCTCCCTCCGAACCAGACTGGTGGGACCAGGGATGGGGCTGGGTGAGGGGACTGGAGGCTTTGGAGGCCGCCGCGGGGCAGAAGAGATCTAGTCCAGCCAGATACAAGGAATGGGCCCCTCGCCCCTGCCCCAGGGTCCCGGGTAGGGTAGGGGACTCGTGTCTCAGTGCTGCAGTGTGGGGGGGCCCCGCCCCTCCCCGCGCTTCGCTGTGTAAGGCATCGGCTCCGGCGAGGTCCGCGAGCGCGCAGGGGACGGGGCGGAGGGGTGGAGTCGGAGAGGCCGGCGGTCTGCCTCCAATCCGGAGGCGAGCGGGCGTGGCCTCGACTGCGCCAGCCACGCCCCTTGCGCATCCCTTCTCTCCAGCCTCCCCCGCATCCGGCCGGGCTGGGCATCTAAGCGCGGCCCACAGGCGTCCCGGTGCCCGTGCGCCCGCCGCTCACACGGTACTCTCCAGCATCCATTCGGTGCTGGTGAAGGCCAGGCGTGCCCGGGCGGAGCCCAGCCCCAGGTCTCCGTCCTCCCCGGCCGCGCCCCCTCCGGCCCCGTCCAGGTGTGGCGTGGACCGGTGGCGCTTTGTCCGCCGGGCGCGGCGCGGGTAACTGTGACTCTGGAACAGCGCCCCGTAGTCCCCGTCGAAGGAATAGCGTTGTTGTGGCCTGGGCCGGGCCGAGGCTCCCCCAGGAACCAGAGCTAGAGTTGGGGGCGCTGAAGTTGGAGGCCCCAAGGCCCCTGAACGGCTCCTTCGAGGACCGGTCAAGGCCCTAGATTCCTCCCCAGAAGTTTCCTCGGAGGGTAACAAGCATAGCGAGGTGGCGGAGCCACCCAGAGAGCGTCCAAGCACCACCTCTAGCTCAGTGGAAGTCGCCTCGGCCTCCATGGCCTTTGCCTCGATGGCTGCAGGGACGGCGACCTCCCGCAGCGCCTCGTAGCGGTCTGGAGCCGGTGGGGCGGAGGCCTGCTGCGCACCTGCGCCGTTGGTCTGAGAGCACACGTGGCTGACCCGAGGGGGCGATCTGGACGTCCCCTTGATGCGGCGGCTGTCCCCATCGCCGTACACCTTGTAGCGAATCATGAGCAGAACGATGAAAACCAAGACCGAGGCTACAATGACGCCCCCGATGGCGATGATCATGGTGCCGCCCAAGAAGTGGGCCCTCAGCGGGCGGCATGGTGCAGGATCTCCCGCGGTGGTGAATTGCACACAGCCCACCACTCTGGTAGCCGGCAGAGCGGTGGCCCCGTCGTCGTAGACTGCCAACACACACAAATCATAGGCGCGGCCCGCCGCCAGATCATTCACCAGGAAAGTCTGGCTGGTGGAAGGAATCATCCTGTGGAAAGGGGTGCGATCAAGACGCAGTTAGCGCCACTCTTAACCACGTCCCTTCACTTTACGCCCTAATTGTGGGAAACCACGCTACTGGTGTCTAAGTCTCTCCTCCAGACCACACCCCCCATCTATATGCCCCGCCTCCAGAACCACTAGCCTTTCGCATCTCCTACTGGAATTACCTCTGCTCTACATTGGACAATTATCACTCAAGCTCCTTCATCTGTACATAACTCCCATTTAAGGAGATCAATGCTATGGCCACTCCCTCTAATCTACATGTCCTTCTTCCATTCAGACGGACACTGAAGTCAACAATGGTGGAGCCCTGAGTCTTCATCCAGCCTCTACCTCCTGAATGCTGGGATTTCAGGCTTAGGGACACGCTGGTTTGTTTGGTTTTGTTCTTGTGGTGGTAGGGAACAAACCCAGGCCTTCCTGCAAGGACCCCACCAGTTGAGTCACATTTCCAGCCCTAATTCCTCTTTGATACTCACTCTTGCCTTTGGGGGAGGAAGCATGCGACAGGACATGCACCACCTTTGGGTAAATCTCTAGCTCCTGGCTCAGTTTCCCAAGCATTTAAGCTACATATTCCCACTCATTGCCCTTCTTGACTGCACTCTGGCTTTGGAGCCGTATCCCTTTGAGGTACCTAGGGACGGACAGCTTCTCTAGAGGCACCCGGCTGTTCTATGACCGCTCATTATTGTACCACCAGAACTCTAGGAACCAATTCCCTGAGCCATACTCCCCAAATACTCATCTACAACTGACTAAACTGTAGCCAAGCATGGGTTTCAGTCTTTGCTGTAGCCTCTTCTCAAATGAGGTACATAGCTAGCAAAGTCCTTCAGTTAAACCCCCGGGAGCCACAACCTCTCTACCCTTTGCTAGCTCTGTGACCATACACTTGTTTCTTAACTTCTCTGTGCACCATTTCCCTCTAACAGGGACAATGAGAATTCCTATATCCTTGAGATAGCACAGGGAATGAATGAGTTAACGTATCTAAAGCCCAGATTGTCTAAAGTTAAGGGTGTCACTATGAGCTAATGTCCTGTGTTTTCAGCTATTCTGTGGGCTCCCACTCCAAGGCTATACGCCCTTCTCTGTCTCTTTTTAGATTACACTACAGCAATACCATCGTTAACTGGCCTGACCTCTTCTAAATTAGATTTATTAATATGTATATACGTGTGTGTGTGTGTGTGTGTGTGTGTGTGTGTGTGTGTGTAGGTCAGTGGAAAACTTGCAAGAGTCTGTTCTCTCCTTCCACCATGTGTGACCCAGGGATAGAACTCGGGTCATCAGGCTTGGTAGAAAGTGCCAATAAACCACTCAGCCATCTCACCAGCTGCACCCTCTACGTCTCTCTAAGATCCACCCTAGGGACATTCCCTCCCAGACTTTGGTCTCTTTTGATGAGCATTATCTTGGCACAGTCTGTTTGGGCTACTTCCAGCCTCGGGGAATCCAGAGTGTGGAGTGCGCCCTGACTGGCATGCGCTGTACCCAACCCCGAAAGCTCTCCTCTCCTGCCAAGGATCTTAGTGGCTCACCAGAGACAAGCACCGCCCTATGCAGATCAAGTTCCACCCCCTCTAAAATGCCACGCCTCGTCTCCAAGCACGCTTACCTGTCAGAGCTCCACAGGCCTGCCAGTGAGGCTGCCTGCTGGTCCTGAGACCCTCACCAAGAAGGTCCCTGCCATGAGGCACCACCCTCTACCCCAGGACTTCAAGCATAGGTCCCACCCACTCCCAAAAGACCCCACATTATCTTCTTCCTTTTTCAAAATCAACCAACCTTGAGCTGCCCTGACCCCTTTCTTGGTTGTAACTTTCTCTTTTCTTCTCCTAGAGGCTTGGATTTCCTTGGTTCTTCTTCCCAAATAACCAGTTGCTAGGGGCGCCCCCCCTTTCAAGGACAGTCACTGGCTCCTTAAGAGAGCCTGAGCCCACAAGTCTCTCATTGGCTGCCAGACCAGAGCAAGCAGCCGAGCAGGCTTCTTGTTGGATGTCACCTCAGCCCATGGCTGCAGAGAGGAAGTTAACCCCTGCAGTGCCGACCTACGCACAAGCATCTGCAATGGAAGATGCAGGATAGAACAGAGGCCCTCAGGGAAGAAGAGTCCCTGCCTAACTGGGGAGAAAGGACTACCATATCTGCTTACATACTGGTTCTGGAGCTTTCCCCAACCCTGTCACATGATGGTTATGGATCAGAGAGGAACAGTGAAGAGAGATGAAAAACTACACAATCCGAATGACTGACAGAAATGCATCATCCATCTCCCCACCATCCCTGCCGGCAAACACTAGGTATTCAATAAGTGTGCGCTCAAGCATATGAAAGAGAGCTCTGCCTCTCTCTGTCTGAGAGCAAATGGTCTCTCCCACAGAGCATCAAGTTCTGTGGCTGAAAAGAAAGAGAACTGAGGGTGTGGCTCAGTGGTAGAGCCCCTGCCTAGAATCCCCCAGTGAGGGGCTGGGGGCATGGCTCAGAGGTAGAGCCCCTGCCTACAAACCCCCAGTGAGGGGCTGGGGGCGTGGCTCAGTGGTAGAGCCCCTGCCTAGAATCCTCCAGTGATGGGCTGGGGGCGTGGCTCAGTGGTAGAGCCCCTGCCTAGAATCCCCCAGTGAGGGGCTGGGTTTAGTACAGAAGAATTGCCTAGAATGTGTGAGGCTCTCAGTTCAATCAATAGTACCATAAAAGTGAATGAATAAAAATAAAATAAAGGCTGACAAGATAGCTCAGTGGATAAGAGAGCATGCCACCAAGCTAACAACCAGAGTCTGACCCCTAAGACATGGTGGAAGACGAGAACACATTCTCAAGATGTCCCCCAATTGCCCCATGCATGTTGCATGTTATGGTGTACACACACACACACACACACACGTAATTTTAAGGATGTTAAATGACACACATAAAAAAGTAATTTTTCTTTCTTTCTTTTTTTGTTTTGTTTTGTTTTGTTTGTTTGAGACGGGGTCTCTCTGTGTAGCCCTGGCTACTCTGGTACTTCCTCTATAGACCAGGCTGGCCTCACACTCAGAGATCTGCCTGCCTCTGCCTCCCGAGTGCTGGGATTAAAGGTGTGCGCCACCTCTGCCCCCCCCCAAAAAAAATTAAAATGTTTTAAATGGAATAAATGGGAGTGATGGTAGGGGCTTTACAGCAAACAGCTGCATCCTTGGACATAGTGTGTGAAGGTTTCTGTTTGGGGTCTTGGTCTGCTGACTGACTGTAACGGGTCGGTCTGTCTACCTAAGACCGATACTTCTGATACACCCTCAACAATGTCCTCAGTTCTGACGGTCAGAAGCAAAATGAGGAAATGTGTCATTGGTGTAGTGATATACTCTCTGTTATCTCAGAAGATAAAGAGTTCCATGCCAGCCTGGACTACACAGTGAATTGAAGGCTAGCCTAGGCTACAAGGGCAAGAGCCTGTCTCAAAAACAAAAGAAGAGCCAAGGGAAAAGAGAGGCCTCCAGGCTGGCCAATAGGACACAGATGGAGGCCAAGAGACAGGCTTATTTTGAAGGGCTAAGTGCACTGAAGTTATTGAGGCTACCACTGAACTGATGAGGAAATGGCTCCCAACCCTCTAATAACCCAAAGAAATGAAGCACAGGGCCAGGCACTCAGCAGACTCTACAGTGCAGGAGGAAGGCAAGAACAAGATGTGTCTGTTTAGCCAACAGTCATTTACTAAGTGCTCACTGTTGTGGCACCTGCTGTGCCAGGGTCTGTGACTGACAAACTACCAAGATGGAGAGACCGCAGGGCTCAGGTACTGATTCCCATGGGCCCCTACCCATCGGGCTGTGTATTCCCTCAGGTTAGGGACTGCGTCTCCTGGTCTCCCCAGGGCAAAGGTGCCAATGGTCACAATGAAGGCAGCCATTTTATTTTATTTTACTTTATTTTATTTTTTGAGGCAAGATCTCACTGTGTAGCTTGGGCTGACTTCAAAGGCACTGTATAACCCAGACTGACCTTGAACGGAAGATCTTCGAGCCTCAGCCTCCCAATTCGCTTGGACCACAAGCACGTGGCACCAATGTCTACCTCAGAGCTGTGTTTCTGTATTCAGGGAGCACATATATTGAATACCTACTGCTTCCCAAGTAAGGATGGGAGGGGTTTAGGGAATTATTTCTTTATACACTTTCCTTTCAGGACCAGGCGGTGATGGCACAGGTCAGTTTCCCAGCACTCAGGCAGAAGCAAGTGGAACTCTTAAGTTCAAGGCTATCCTGGTCTACACAGTGAGCTCCAGGACAGCTAGGACTACAAAGAGAGACCCTGTCAATAATAATAATAATAATAATAATAATAATAAATATACTCTCTTTTTTCTGTGCATTTCTATCTTTTCTTCTCTATGACTCACAGCCACACCCAACTCAGGGCCCAGTATAATAGCACAGAGTGGAAATGCCTAGTGGAGGAAGGAGGAAGAGAAAGTAGAGACGGACAGGGAAGAGGAAAAAACAACAAACTCTGGAGAGGGAGAGGAAAAGCAACTGACATGTGTCTACACTACAGCCTGATCACCCTAAAATGGTGGCTTCTAATCCAGATGGGCCTGGAAAAAATTCATAGGCACCAATTAGTGTTCTATCCATTTGACACAAACTAGGTTCATCTGGCAACCTCAACTGAAACATTGTTTCCATCAGACTACCTTGAGGGTAAGTGGGGGTGGGGGCATTTTTTTGACTAAGGATTGACATAGGATGGGAGGGTCCAGGCCACTGTGGGTATTCCCACCCCTGGGAAGGTTGTATAAGGTGATCCCGAGTCATTCTATAAGAAAGCAGGCTGAGTAAGCCATGGGGACCAAGGCAGTAAGCAGCACCCCTCCATGGCCTTCAGGTTCCTGCCCTGAGTTCCTGCTCTTCTCACATTGATGAACTTGTGACCTTTGAGCTATACGATTAAAAAATAAACCCTTTCCTCCTCAACTTGCTTTTGTTGGTTTTTTGTCTTTCGTAATTGTTGGTGGTGGACAAGACTTTTCTGTGTAGCCCTTGATGTCCTGGAACTCGCTCTGTAGACCAGGCCAGACTCAAACTCAGAGATCCGCCTGCCTCTGCCTCCCAAGTGCTGGGATTAAAGGTGTGTGCTCCCACCGCCCGGCTTGGTCATGGTGTTTATCAAAGCAATAGAAACCAAATCTGAACTTTATGTTCCTATCTATCTCATGGGTTTTGCTTTCTGTTTCTATAATGTAGGGGACTAGAATAGTAGTATTCTAGACATAAATAGAACTATAACTATAAACATGTGTGCTTTATGTGACACAACGTTTAACTGGTAAGATTCATGATGAAAAGCCTCTGGAGAGCAAGTGATGTTGGCCATGGAACTCTGTAAGATATTTGTCTGGCAGTACTGGGATAGAACTCAGTGCCTTCACCAGCTTAGCTGTGCTCTGCAGAACCACGCCCCAGCCCCTCGCTAAAGGGATTCTAGGCAGGGGCTCTACCACTGAGCCACGCCCCCAGCCCCTCACTGGGGGATTCTAGGCAGGGCCTCTACCACCAAGCCACGCCCCCAGCCCCTCACTGGGGGATTCTAGGCAGATTCTCTATCACTGAGCCACGCCCCCAGCCCCTCACTGGGGGATTCTAGGCAGATTCTCTATCACTGAGCCACGCCCCTAGCTCCTCACTGGGGGATTCTAGGCAGGGGCTCTACCACTGAGACACACCGTAGCCGCTCCCTGAAGGGCTTTCTTTACTTTGAGCGACACCCCAGCATCTCACTGGAGAATTCTAGACAAGAGCTCTATCTCACTATAACTGAGCTACATCTCCAGCCCTCTTTTTTTTTTTTTCTACTTTTTAAATTTTGAGTGTTTCCAAGTTGTCCAGGCAAGCTTCGTCCTTGCTGTCCTCCTGCCTCAGCTTCCCTAAGGCTAGGATAACAAACCTGACGCATGAGTCCCTGCTCCTTGTTCTAACTCCACTGCCCAGCCCTGCGCTGGCTCATGTTAAGTATTACACAAACTCTCCTAAGTGCACGAAACACGAAGACGGCAGAGCAGGGGGGTGGAAAAGGCAACTGCGGGCCTAGCCAGAGCCCGAACTAAGCAAGGTCAGGGGATGAATGAGGAGGTGGGCGGAGAGGACAGGATGTCCGGGTTAGAGCTGCTGCCCCACACTCACCTGTAGACTAGGGAGTCATCCGCAGAGCTGTTGTATTGCACTTGGTACATGCGGATGCCAGGCACCGGCCTCTGGGCCGGCCAGCGGATGAGCACAGAGCTGGACGTGAGTTCGGCGGCCACAAGCCTGCGCTCAGTGGCTGAGTCGTTGGCACCGGGTCTGCCTGGTGTGGCGATGTCAGAAGAACCAGGTTCAGTGAGAGGCGGCGGGGCAGCAGGTGGGGGCGCCATCAGTGGCAGAGGTACCACACATACCTCCACAGGTGCAGTGGCTTCCCCCGCAGCATTGGAGGCTATGCAAGTGAAGGTACCGCTGTCCCTTAGGGTGGTGATGGTCACATCCAGCGTTCCATCACCACGGACCCGAGTCCGGCTGGAGTTCCCCAGCAGCCGTCCATCAGGGGCCACCCAATGCACCACGGGCTCGGGGTCTCCCACTGCCCGGCAGCGCAGACTGACAGCCTGGCCCTCCACCACCAGGGCCCGGCCCCCTGCCTGCCGTGTGATGAGCGGGGGCTCACATAGAAATTCCTCCTCAGGAATAGACCAGAAATAGCGGTCAGTGAGATGCTCGGGCGTGGCACACGTCTCCAAATCGTCCTCCCTGGTCAGGCGCCGAAGCCAGAGCAGTTCACAGTTGCAGTGCAGCGGGTTGCCACCGAAGCTGACCGTCAGTGGGGTGGGTGGCTTGGGCCCACCGCCCTGGGACCTCAAGAACAGTCCATCTGGGGGTAGTTTATGTAGACGGTTGGAGGTCATGTCCAACCGTACGAGTTTGTGCAGCTGCACGAAGGTGCCCTCCGCAATGTGATCAATGAGATTGTGGTCCAGCGTGAGGGTGTTCAAGTTCACCATCTGACCCACCGCCTCCCATGGCAGTGCCTCCAGGTTATTGTAGGACAGGTCCAGGTCCTCCACGGTGGACAGGAAGGCGTCAAAGGCTGCCGACTCCACCTTGCGGATCTGATTGTTGCCGAGGATCAAGTGGCGGAGGTTACCCAAGCCCCGGAGCTGGTCCCCTCGAACCTCTGCTAGGCGGTTGCTGTCAAGGTGCAGGGCCCGGAGAGCACGGAGGTCAGCAAAAGCACCGGCGGCTACCTGGCCAATGGTGTTGCGAGACAGGGTGAGGTGGACCAAGCTGGTCATATTGGCGAAGTCTCGCCGACGCACAGCCGCAATGAAGTTGTCAGTGAGCCGCAGCTCGACCACACGCCTGTCGATGGCGGGTGGCACGAAGAGCAAGCCGGTCTTGGCACACAGCATGGTCAGTGTAGGGGCTACGTTCTGACAGATGCAGCGACCCGGGCAGGGTTGGCCACGAGATGCTCCTGCCCAGAGCAGCAGTAGGAAAGGGAGAGCAGCAGGTGATGGCGAGAGGAGCCCGGAGGAGAAGGGGCCTGGAGCCATGGTGCAGGGGGGAGGCAGGAGGTGTGGGAGAGACCTGCAGGGGAGGAAGATAGTCAGCCAGGGTTGGTCACCACTCCTGCAAAACTGCCGCTGAAAGTCTAACTGGAGTCTTTATCCCCCAACAAATGGGCTCTGGACAACAGATCTCAAAGCAGCTAGCATACATGGCATGGTCATCTTTTTCTTTCCTCCTCTGGTGTTTTATTTTGTTTTGTTTCGTTTTGTTGGATACAGAGTCTCATTATATAGCCTGGCCTGGCCCGAAACTTGTTTGTAGACCAGGCTAACCTCAAACTCACATAGATCAGCCTGCCTCTGCTTCCCCCCGCCCCCCAGTGTTAGGATCAAAGGCGTGTGCCACCACCTTAGCTTTTCTTTTTGCGAGGCAAAGTTTTACTGAATATCCCAGGCTGGCTTTGAACTCATAATCTTCCTATGTCTGCCTTCCCAGGGCAAGGACTACAGATCTGGGCCAAAGCAACCAGATGTGATTGCATTTCCATAGGAACTGGCAAATCACCACTGCGTTACTCTGAAGTCTTCCACCCTCCCACCTCTTGGAGCTCCCCAACTTCCCATGACCTCCCAGCCCACAGATACTCTGAAATCACTGTTGGCTGAAATTTGGGACCAAAGACGTCAAACATACAACTCCTAGTTCAAATACCAGCTGTGACACTTACTAGCTGTGTGACCTTGGGCAAGTGTCTGAACCTCTCTGAATCTCGGTTTCTTCATCTGTAAAATAGAGAGAAAGAAAAGGCCTTACTTTGGTGAGGCTTATGTATACTCATGAGCAGGCACATAAGATGGGTTTAACACATATTAATAATTATTAGCTGCACCACTGGGTGCCTAATAATACCAACGACAGAGCTGAGCATGTGCATTATGGTTAAAAGAAAATGTTTCCATTTTAAATAGTATTATTATTTTGAATATTGCACATGTGTGGCTGGGTCAGAGGACAGCTTTGTGGAGCTGATTCTTTCATTCCACCTTCATGTGCGGGAATCGAACTTAGGAACTTAGACTGTTGCGCTTGTACAGCAAGCTCCTTCACCCGCTAAGCCATCTCGCTGCCCCGCGAGTGCACTAAAACCAAACACATTCAAATAAAAATTCTGGCTCTCTCATTTGCTAACTCGAGGAGACCACGGCAATGATCCCCACACCTACGCCAGAGTTTATTTTTCTTCCTTTTTAGAATGTGTGTTGTTATTCGTCACCTGTTTGTTTGAGGCACAGTAGTGTTAGGCACAGGCTAGTCTTGAACTCACAAGCCTCTTCAGTCACTAAGGTCTCACTCTGTAGCCCAGGCTGGCCATGAATCCACCTGCCTCTGACTCTCAAGTGATGGGATTAACAGTGCAATACACTCATCCTGTTCTTCTTCATTATTTTATTTGTTTGTTTTTGTTTTCGAGACAGGGTTTCTCTGTGTATCCCTGGCTGTCCTGGAACTTGCCCTGTAAACCAGGCTGGCCTCGAACTCCACCTGCCTCTGGCATCTGAGTGCTGGGACTAAAGGCGTGCACCACCACTGCCTGGTCCATCTTGTTCTTTAAGACATGACAGTAGGTTGTCTGTGCTAGTCTAGAACTTGCTATTCCTATACAGTTGAGGCCGGCCTTGAACTCTTGATCCTCCTGCTTCTGCCTCCCAAGTACTGGAATTACAGGTGTGTGGTGCCACACAGAGAAAGGCCAAAATGTCTTTATATATTAAAACAACACCATCTTCACTGAGATTTTGAATGAAAACCACCGAGTACAGGGCCTAGCTCACAGTGAGCACTCAATGAATGTTAAGGTCCTCCACCTAAACTAATAGAGAAAAAGACAGAAAGGTGGGAAGGGTTGAGAAAAAAAAAATCAGAATTTCCTAGAGTATGGTTTCTTTCCAGGTTCATCTGAGCTCCCAAGCAGGGGCTGACTGATACCGACTGGTAAACAGGAGGCCCATCCATGCCTACAGGCACATGCGTGTATGCACACACACTATGCCTCTGCTCCAGGCAAAACCTTCCGGCAGGGATTCCCCCTCCAGCAGCAGCAACCCACGACATGTCAGTTCCCATCATAACACAGGGTGGGCGGGGGTGGGGGTGGGGGTGGGGCAAAGCGGAAAGGACGGGAAGGGGGCGTCCTCAAAGCTATTTTCATCCCACCCTGTCCTATGCCCCAGCCCTTACTGACCAGCCTCTGAGGAATCTGGGTGGAATGGTGGCCATATGTGACCTTGATCTTTTTACCCAGGGGAAGAAGAATGGGACTAAGATAGTCAGAGAAAGGCTGCGAGAGTCAGAAGGAAGCAAGTCGGGAGGAATGGACTGGCGGACAGAGCGACGACGGAAAGTAAGACAAAAAGAGAAAGGGTTTCCCAAGAAGATGACATAGGTTCCAGGTATGGCTCAGCAGAACATCTGCCTAGAACCCCTCCCACTCCCGCAATGAGGGACTGGGGGCGTGGCTCAGCAGAACACGTGCCTGGAACTCCCCAGTGAGGGACTGGGGGCGTGGCTCAGAGGTAGAGCCTGGAATCCCCCAATGAGGGGCTGGGACCGTGGCTCAGTGGTGAAATGCTTTTCTAACATGCTTGAGGATTCCCTCCCCAACACTGCAAAAAGGGGGCAGCCAGGTGTGACGATAGATACCTATAATCCCAGCACTCAAAAAGTTGAGAGATGTAGGCTAGCCTAGGCTACATATGGAAACCCTGTCTCAAGAAACCAAGGAGGCAATGAAAAGACAGGTACCAGTGGGACAAAGAAACAAAAATTTCTGAGTGAAGAAGGAAACAGACAGAAAAGAGGCTGAGCCAGGGTGATAGAAAGAGGGAGAAGAGGGATGCGCAGAGGAAAGAGTTAGAGGAAGAAAGAGACAGGAATGAGGCTGAGGAGGGAAACTGAGGCAGGACCAGGGCAGCACATCTCTGAGCACCCCCACCCAGATTCCACCCTCCTCTCACTGTAGGCTACTGTTCCGTACTGACTAGAAACCCCGGTCTGGAAGTTAAGCCTCCATCATTAAGAGCAGGGCATCTGCTTCCTTGGGGTCTCTAGGGCCCAAAACCGTGTTCTAAGAGTTTCTCCTCGCACAGCTGCAAAGAAAACATCCCGAGCTTACCCAAAGGCATCTCACCACCACAGGTCAGAACCCATCCCTCAGCCAGGGCTCACACTCCAAGGCCCAGTTGTGTGTGGCTTTGGTGAAACAGCATCCCTCTCTGCACCTCTCTGTACTCATTCATGTCAACGATGGCACCTGCCTACCTCACCGCACTTTGAAGAGGGCTCACTGAGAATATTTTGTAGATGACTCTAACAGTGTGTGTGTGTGTATGTGTGTATATATGTGTATGTGCGTCTGTGCAAGTGTGTGTGTGAGTGTGTGCATGTGTGTGTGTGTGTGTGTGTCCCTGGGGCTGGAACACAGGGCCTTGTGTATGCTAAGCAGATACTCTATGGCTAAGCCACACCCCCAGTCCCTCACTGATGGATTCTAGGCAAGTGCTCTACAAATGAGCTAGATCCCCCCACTAATTTCTTCTTCTCCTTCTTCTTTTCCTCCTCTTTTCTTTCTGAAACTGGGTCTTACTGAATAGCCCAAGATGGCATCAAACTCACAATTCTCTTGCCTTAGCCTACAGAGCGCTGAGATGACTATACTACCAGCTGTCAGGGGTTATTTCATGCCTAGAAACCTTCACGGAGCCTTACTGATAGAAAGGAACTGCACTTTCCTGATCGCCTTACCTATCTTGAGAGATGTCACATCTCGACATCTAGATCCCTCTGAGCTTCCTGACACCATGAGAGGATCGCTTACCCAACTCCAATTCTCATAGGCTTATTTCTACTCTTCACAGGGTGGGTACCCGCCTCCCCAGACGCTGTGGTATTCTGCACTTGAATCCACTTAGGTAGAGCTCTGGGCCTAGGCTGGCTTGCAACTGGTACTCTTCCCCCCAACACCTCTTCCCCAACCCATGGTACTATACTCACCTCTCTTCAAGGAATCAGGGCCTGGGCCAGTACCTGCCAAAGAACAAAACCACAGTTAGCATCTTACAGCTCCTTTCTAGTCACTGAAACCTACCCTGGAGATCATCTAAGCCAAGAGAGTTCCTATAATGACTGCTTTCTTAGGCCTCCTGCTATGGGGTCATCATATTCTCGGAGGGACCCAAAAGTCATGGTTAAACCTAAAGAGACTGGGCCTCAGGGTCCAGCATGTGAGCTTTGCCCTCTGAGGGCTCAAGAGCTCTGAACCCTGACCCCTCCTGCACTGGTTCCTGATTATGGGATTTACCCACTTGTCTTAGCAGCTGTAGAATTTCTGCATGCCCAGCCTTCTCTTTTTGAGACTCAGAAACATGGACCAGACATCTTTTCCTTTAGAGCTCAAGAGTTCTCATCTGGGCTCCCCAACTTCAAAGACATGAGCGGTATCCAGAGCCCAGAAGCACTAGGGCTCCTACCATGCTTTCCCATCCACTTTTACGTTGGTGTATCCATCCCAGTCTATGTGAGTCGGAACCCAGGCTCTACCAGCGAACACCAGCCCAGTCTGGGTGCTCCCTACCCGTCAGGACACTGAGCCCAGGATAGTCACATTTGTGTTTCAGGACCACATACTATGCCTTGGTGTGCTACAGATCACACTCACTAGACTCAGAAGTAGGGTCAATCTTGTGCTCAAGGCACAGGTACACACGTATCTTACAGACACAGGCCTAAAGATACAGAACCTGGTCCCCAGAGACTAAAGTAGGGAAGGACTCCCAAGATAGATACACACCCTCAAGGCTGGCATATCTGCATACACCACACATACACACACAGGCTATCCGTTGCACACTCACAGATGTACACGTACAGAAAAACCCATGTGCCCCTTAATAGACAACCAGACACCTACATCTATATAGTCCTTGCACACTTGTCAACACGCAGTGGCTGACATACCTAAGACTCACCTGCACAATGAAAGATACATAGGTGCACACTCTTACACACCTAAACACACCCGTGCCGCTTCACATATTCCCACTGTGTAGTCATAGAGCAGATAAAGCACCAACAGACACATGCGTGCACAGCTGGTACACACCTTACACATGCACACAGAACCCCTAGCACGAACACACACTGACAAAGCAGAGAATCACGAACAAGCACAGACACTTTGTAAGCACTCCAAGAGGCTCACGCATCACAGATACACTCAGACCACAGTCCCATGAGGAACCAACACGCTTGTAAATGCACACAAAATACCAAAGCACAGAGCACAGTCAACAGACCAGCTAGCTTCACACTCACAGACACTGACACCCATCCCTCATGGCCCTGACACTCCTGCCCCACCTACTTCCCAGGCCAAATACATTCTAACACTCCTTCCAGTCCCTGTTACACCCTTCCCCCAAAAGAATCGGGCACAAGCCAGGGTCAAAGGTCATAGTTCAGCAGGTGGGGCTCCATCAGGAAGGGACTGAGTCCCAAAGCCGGATTCCAACAAGATTCTGCCACCAGCAACCCCCAGAGTTTCCCCAGCCTTACCATTAAGATATAGGCAACTGGGGCGCTATCTGCAGATACCCGGCAGGTGGGGGAGTTAGGGTGGGGTGGAATGGGAAGGGCCAGGTCTTCAACCCCACCCTCCATTCTCCAACCCTCAGCCCCCACCCCAGGGCCCATCTGTCCATCCCTCGGCCTCTCATTCCTCCATCTGTCCACCTCCCGGCCTCCCATCCCCCCCCCCAACCAGCCACGGAGAAGAGGAGAAAGACATGGCCGTCTCCCCCAAGGATCACTGAGGACCCCCCTCCAGTTGACACGGACCGAGGGATCAGCTAAGTCCCCTCCTCCCCCCATCCATTCGGAGGCCTGGCCCCACTATGCGCTGAGCCTCAGCCCCCACCCCAACAGGATACCTGACATAGACACACAGACACACACACACACACCCTTGGAGACATCCAATCCGCACACCACACACACACACACACACACGGACACACACACGGACGGACACACGGACATACACAGAGACACACATATACACACACACCCGAGCGAACACACCCGGCTCCGCAGCCCCTCGGATGGACATCCAACCCAGCCGGACACAGACCCCCGATGCAGCCAGCCGCACGCGCGCACAGGCCCGCTGGGGGACCCGCACACCTGGGCGCGCAGCCCCCGCACACACCTGCACACAGCCCCTCGGACGGGCGCGCCACAGCCCCCCAGATCCGGCGCCCCGGAGTGTGTGGGACACACGCGCGCACACACGCACACATGCACACATGCACACGCACGGCCGACCGCGGCCCCGCACACGCCCGGATGGCCACACCGGCGGGGCGCCCGGCACACACAGGGCCGCGGGCCGGCGCACGCCGGGCCCCGCCGCAGCGCCGCGGACACACGGGCACGCTCGTCCCCGCGCCCCCGCCCGCCGCTTCCAAAGAGCCCCCGGGGCCGCGG